TATAAGTATTAATTGAATATATCCTTTTAATTAAAATGACGTGTATATATTTGTTTGCTAATAACTTGTTACTTGTTACGTTCAATACTTTTACATGTAAACATTCCACCAATTAATTCCTCACACCTGACTTATATTTTATTGTTAAAGGCGTAATTTCTTCACGTGCACTGATGTTAAAATTGAAATAGTCACGTCACACTTTATCCTGACAAGGTGCTCCAAAGTAAGTGAGGTCTGATGCCGTTTAGCCGGCGAGGGCCTACTCACGCCTACATGTCAGGCTGGACATACTTATATTTATTTGATTTATTTGCTAATAACTTACACGTTACAGTCACGGTTTAATTATATTTATTTTAGGGCAAAAATGTCGGTGGTAGAAACGTCCTATATTTGTCCCAACACTTCATTTGCTGGTGCTATGAAGTCATAATTAAAACGCGCTGCGATTGGGCTTCTTGTCTACAATGCCTATATTTCTACGTAGACTGTTACGTGTTGTTACGGAACTATGTTTACGCTTCTAACATGATAGATATCTAATTTGGATAAATTTACAGACCGATATGAACTGCCGGGCCGTCGGTATGAACTGCCAAGATGGCGGCAACTATTGTCGTCAAAATTATGCATCGAGACAAAGGGCTCGCCACCTAACATCAACGCCTGAGGATATATACATATACTAGTATGGGGAGAATGACGGACAGGGTGGTGCCTATGCGTAACCAATGACGAGTGTAAATACACAATTGTATACAGCGATATATATGTCCTAGTATATATATAAATTTATACTCACTCATACAAGGTCAAGGATATATTCTTTTTTAACGTTGTCCATTTCTTAACAGTGAACGGTATGAAGAGAACTCCGTATTCCACAGTTGTTACCAAACATAAAACAACAAATACAGCTATGATAATGAATTTTCTTGTCACTGTCATGGCTCGCACGTTACTAAAGTCGAACTATGGCGTGTATACACGTTATTCCCTTGCAGTTCTTTGTGAAATCATTGGCAACTACTTACACAATGACTCCAATACACTGTTTAAATATTATCCTGATGAGGTCAGTGGTGAGTTGTATTTAAATGTCAATGTGTTTAGGTCGGCATTATGCGGGCCCATATAATGTCATGATCCTTAAACAATTTACTAAATATCACCTCAACTGAATATTTCAGTGGGACCACATAACCTGCTTATGTTTTTGTATATTGTTTGATTATATTTACTTCATTGTCCCTCAGTACAGAGGTTTTAACACTGTACACAACCTGGGTTCACACCTTCTTTCCAGAGTGTGGGGGTCACGTGTTCCTCTTGTATGCATTGCCACGCTTGTAGTGAAAGGCATAAAGCGGGGGCGGGGGGTATTATAAACGTCGTCCGATGGATAGCGTTTCAATCTACCTCAGTGTTGATCAAGTTTCGTCAAACATTGACTACTTTATACGCCCAAATAATAAATTTTACATGTTCTTGTAAAAAATAGAGTCGATAAGCATTGCGGGCTATATAGTGTTTTTAACAAGACACCCGCATCCCGCATCCCGTATATGTAGCAGTGCGTTCTAGCTCGATATTTAGGTCTATACAGATAAGACAAAATTATCGAGATCCGCGTATGATATGCTATACAAATTAGACAAGAATTCTAACACATTATCGAGATTCGCTGATGATATGCTATACAAATCAGACAAGAATTCTAAACAGATTATCGAGATATGCGTACGATAAAAAGACCAGGTGTGTAGCAACGCCTAAGTCTCTAAAAATCTGAAAAAAAAACAATAGGGTCCCATTTAGTGCAAAGTATAGCTGTCGCTTTATCATAAAATGCATTGACGTCCATGTTGTTCATGTTATACTGCCATCACTGATATGTCATTGTAGTAGTAGTCTATCAATAAACCGACCAGTTACCCATTCATTTAATATCTTTCAATTTATTCCACAGGAAGTCATTGCGGGAATTTAGTATTTTAGTGACACCCTTTTTAAATATATCATGTTTCTAAAACAACTGCAAATCCCTTTGAACTCTGTCACTATGTAAAAAGTTAAATCCGATGATCTGTGAGAACGTCAAATAGCAGATATCTTGGAATCTGTTCATTCAGAATGCCCTTTCCCGGCAGTGCACTCATGATGGTTGACGCCATTGTGGTTAAATTATAGTTGTATGAATGAAACTTGTTTTTGTAGAAACACCTTGTCTCAATTTGCATACAACATACTGAATTGTTCGAGTTGCGAACATCGAGTTACGAACATTGAGAAACGAACATCGAGATACGAACATCGAGTTACGAACATCGAGTTACGAACATCGAACATCGAGTTACGAACATCGAGTTACGAACATCGAGTTACGGACATCGAGTTACGAACATCGAGTTACGAACATCGAGTTACGAACATCGGGTTACGGACATCGAGTTACGAACATCGAGTTACGGACATCGAGTTACGGACATCGAGTTACGGACATCGAGTTACGGACATCGAGTTACAAAAATGCCCACGCCCATATTTTAGAAACGACGCCCACTATTGAAAAACCACGCCCCGGGACCCTTTTCCCTTTATTCTGGAATCTTCTTTTCTGTAATACAATAAAACATAATGTTCTTACATTGACTAGAGAAAAGAAATCGCATACAGACACTTACAAAAAGTGTAACGATTACTAGTACTTTGAGCCCTTGGATCACGGTTCGTTCGACTGAGAGTGCAATTTGTCATACAATATATTGTGTCACAATTCAAACTTTTGGAGCTTGCTTTCAACTTTAACTAGAAAAGCCATCATAGCCTCTTTCGTAATTCCGAAATTGTTTGAAATAGTGTGTACTTTTGGGGGAATGAAGTATTTAGAAATTATGTATTTACGAATCATTTTAGTGTGACAATTGCTCAGATAGTAAAATAGTAAAAATCAATTGCAAGTAGTAGGCCAGGGAGGTTGTTATCTTTCGTATACCGTAAATTAAAAGTATGCAGTTATTGGGCGATTTTCAACAGGCGAGTGCAGTGTAAACCTTGTTCAAAGATAATTGTCCTTCACAGTTGTATTACGTTTTGGAATTTGATAATTGTTGAGGAAATCTATATGACCATTGCCAGGAGGATGTGGGCGACGATCGTGTGAAACAAACATGGAATAAAAGGTCTTAATTTGAGGAGTCAAATAATTGTGTAAATAATTTGGCTTTTTTTAGCATTGAAAATCGCTCAAAACCAAGGAAATATTTTGTATTAATCCCACTAATACCATGCTTTCCAAAAAAGAAGCGCGCGTATTGAAAAACGATAACTATAGTGATGTGGCTTCATCACGTGCACAAGAGCTTCCAAAACAACAACCTTGCATGGTGGGAATACATATGAAAATCTTAACAAAAAAAGAAACAAAAAACAGTGAAAGAAAACATGTCACAAATCACGTATACATGGCTTTAGAAATGTTAATTAGTTAAAGGTGCGCTGTCCTCAATTCCTGCGGCAGTTCAATTTCGAAAACAATGACAATCCTTCAGGAAAAAAGGAAACTATGATCCAGCGTGGACGGCACATATTTGATGTTGTTTATATACAATGGCCCCTTCGTAAACCTAAATCGCTTACCCTCCTTGTATGCAGAATCCATAATCGGATGAAGCTTCTTTTTGGTTTTGTAGTTCGTTGGGCATAAATCCGTTTTAATTAACAAAAGTGGAATCTTTGAAAGCCTCTCGCGAATTTGTCATGATACTTCTTCTTTGCTCTCGAAGCGGCCCTGGCCGGAACATGGCGTGCGTTATAAGTCCAAAAATGTCCGACACCTTCAGTTTATCTTCACTCAAAGTTCAAACAATGGAAATACAGTCCTCACCTTTTGTTTCGGGAATTCCACAAAAACGTAAATAAAAATCATGGGAATATCCCTGCATGAAGTTACACGTTATCATTATAGCAAGGAGAAATAATTATTTATTTTGTTCGGTTTATATAATAAATTCTTAAAGCGCGGTAGTCGTCGCGCTGCGCATGTGCGAGATATACATGTATGGGTCTCATATAAACAAAGGTGGCGACTTTGACTGTTGCGCAAATCAACGAGTACGAACTGAGACGTTTCCAAGCTTTAATTAAGTAATTTGCAGGTTATTGGAAGGCATTGAAGGAGTCACCGGCGGTAATCAATGCAAGTCGCGCCCAGGTCAAACCTCATACTTGTGATTTCCATTTGAAGAGCGCATTGGATTGTGGGAAATCAATGTTTATCATTAAACACAAATGTGGCACATGCGCAGCGCGACGACTACCGCGCTTTAATATTGTATGGGTATTTTTGTGAGTGTACCTGTATGTATTAAAATATGTACACCATTAAAACGATAAACACCTCAAATCAACCATGCAAAGTAAACAAAATTATCAAAAGTGATTTTGGATTTGTCCTAGCCAGTTTATAAAATTGTGAAAAAATATTTTCGTAATTAACACTGACCGCGAAATACAATGTCACTGATGGAATATTTTATATTGCAATTTCTTTCAATTGTAAATGCATTGCAATGCATTAGTAATAATTAATATGTATATACATTTATTAATTTCATTTGTTTCGTATTATGATTTCCTATCCATAGTTGAAAATTCTTCTGAGGATTAATAATTTCAATAAGCTTTATTCAACTATCTTTCAGCGACACCAGTAAGATTACTTATAATATATCACTAAGCAGTGTAACAACAATGCATGATGCAAAGCCCATTTTGATATGGTTAAATGTTTCTTGGTCGAAGTAAGAAACCTGAGAGGGTACTATCAGAGCATAGTTCTTATTCATAGGATCTCCTGCCAGAGCAACTGCACAAAATAATGAGGGCAAATTAACCGATAGCTCCTAAGGATGGTATTCCTAAATTAAGACCAGTTGTTAATGACACATAAAACATTCATTCTCAACTCCAATGAAAGGACCATTTACTGCGACAAAGCGCTACGCGTCCTTGAAAGCTGTTCACTACGAAAGCCACACCCCACAAGGCTACTAGTCAATGAAATGCATTATTATGTTAGTGTATATGACAAAAGCCGGGTTGTCGCGACACAAATAGCATACAACCCCGCGATTTGTGTGTGAACTATTCTCATAGTAACGTTGTATTACTAGCGAGAACTTGATTAAATAATATTTATATTGTTAAAACCGTTTTTTGTAGAAACACATCAAAATACATACCAACCTTCTCTAGATTTACATACAGTCTCTTGTTATTTATTCTAATGGTGTTTTTCAAGTTGTAATAAAATAAAAATTAAATAATAAAATAAACAAACAATACGGCTTTCGCGATATATACATTCACACAATATTTCATATTGAAAAAAAACTCCAACAACAAACAAGAGACTGTTTTCAAGCCTTGTCGTTCCTGAAAACCCGGTTTGAGGACCCCCGTATCTCACTGTGACTTGAGTCCGCACGCCCTCTTGCGACAAACACTAACAATCATTGTAGAAGTTTCTGAGAGCTATTAAAGGGAGCCCCATTTAAACACAGAGGGATGGAGAATTTGGAAACAAAATAACGAAGTCTCAAGAAATAACTGCTGTGGACGAAGAGAAAAAAAATGGAAAATAGGAATAAATAAATGTCCCCTGCTTCCAACTTTAGGATTTTAAATGGAGTTCCCTAAAACCTCGCCAGGCTCAGGAACGTTCAAATTTTACAGAGTCCGGAAGATGGGAGTTGGTCGATGGAGGCGCACTTTGAATACTCAACTCTGAAATGACCGGAATTTACAGAGGAACTGTCCATACTGCTCGGTGTTCTATGTTCTTGCTGTTCTTGTTAATATCAAATATCACGATATTCGGTAAGTCTAGCCATGGAACTATTTTTTTATTTACTCAGGCTTCCATGGTCTTACTGCCCCGTGACAGTGAGCCTGAAAACTACAGGGGGGGAATCACGTCATCCCTGCCAATATGGCGAGTCAATCGACAGATCAAATCAACACAAATAATATTGCGACAAGGAACGAATAGGACAGAATGTAACAGAATTGGAACATACTAGTACATAGACTCTGTTACACTGCTATGATTCAGAGGTGTGAACATAAACAATCTCAAAACTACTAGTAGGACATGAATTTTGGTCTGAAACAAAATGGCCGAAACACGCTTTGAGGGCGAAAAGTTTTTGTTTTTTTTGTAAAAAATATTATTATTGCGGGTAATTTTTGACCAAATTTGGTTCACAAAATAATACTTTTTAGTTTTTTGAAATCTGACTCCTGTTCAGGGATGTTTTTTCACGAGAAGTTGAAGTTGACACAATACTGAATTTACAAAGAAATGTAACATTTGGACAGCACATCAAATATACCTTTCCTATGTCCATGCCCCCCAGGGAATCTCATACTTGTTACATGTTGATTGATTGATATTTAAGGAGTAATTATATACTCCATTTTTGAGGGTGGTTATTCCTATTACACCAAGTTCATTTTTGAAGGGCGATGGTCGTATACACTATAGTACATGTAAATAAAGATGGCAACTTTGGCATCATTTGCATAATAATTTTTTCACTTTGAACCCTAAATAACCGAGGGTTGCAATATTCAATGTCCGTAGTACACAATTGTGCATTTACAGGCACGACACACTGGTGAAATGTAATTAAATAAAACCCCAAGATTTTCTCTTAGGTTGAGTGATTACAGAGGTGGCAACACAAATTTTGCATGAGAGGTGAGTTCTGCTCACCAAGCCTTACTAGGGGATCCATGGTCATGCTCGCCCTTAAAAATTTTGAAATCCAGACCCTCTGAAACACTATTCCTGCTTTTTGAGGGAGTGACACAATACATTTTTGGAAGGGCGATCGACGCTCTCAACATTTTTTGCGTGCTGCCGCCACTGGATTACCACCATTTTTTGATCAATTCAAGTCGCAGGCTACTTGGGTGGTAATCACAAGTGTCTGCTGATATCGTCAACCGAAGTAAAAATGTTCTGGAGTTATGTATTTATCCCATGCATGTTTCCACATTCCAAAAAATTTAAATGACGTTGAAAGAAGAACTGTTAGAATAACACTGAATTCAATTGTGTGTGCCTTGCGTGCTAATTTTGTTGATGCTGCTGTGTCTTACTTCATGGGAATGTCTTGTGTATGCTGTGAGGTCATTCTGCTTGTTCAGTGCTGTAAATTGCTTAGATTTGTTCAAAATATCAACTGATCTTTTGGAGGGACTGAGGAATATAATTTTGAAAATACACACATGAACTTGCTAAAATAAACCATTGTCACTACAATGAGCAGTTGTTAGACCGTATTTAAATGTAGAAGCTCTGGAAATTCTTCAGGCAGTTGTTTACAATGAAAAAAATGTGAAGTCTAACGATGCATCACAGACGTTATGCCTGTGATAAATTTCCATGCTATGAATATTTTACGGTCTGTTGATTGTATTTTAATTGTCACAGCGCCCTCAGTTTTAGCCTTGGCAAAGGCTTTCTTTCAGGGCCGGTTCTCTAACAAGATTGTACCTTTCAACTTTACAAAACAAACTTTACATTATTTTTACTTAATTAGTAATTTAATTACTGATCATAATTAAAACACTGCATTAGATTATGTTCTCAATGATTGGCCTAAAATAAATTCAATAAAGTAATTATATTACAAACATTTACATTAATCATTAATAATAAATAACAACCTATAGAAGAAGAAATAAAATACTACAATAAATTACAGAACAAACTACTTTATTGCTTTGATTTTGATTTTTATAAAAATTTAATTTTTCTGCCATTTTTTTTTTCAGTTCTGACAAAAAAATGAAAAAAAAGTTGTAAAATAGGCATTTTTTACTGATGCAGATGACGATCATAGCCATGGGCCAAACGTACAGAAGGATGGCTATGATCTTGTTATACAATAAATTTTCTTTTCCATCATCCTTTTCTGCTTCAATAAATACTATGATGTTGGTATCTTCTTGGTACAGGTACCCTTCATGTAATTTCAACAATAGTAACGAAAACCCAACTCATAAAATAGAGAACATATTCCTCCCCTTAGACCACTTGAATATGGTACAAATAAACCAAATGTCGCCCTCTTGCATACCAAACTAAACATACATTCCACGTCATAGTTGAATTGTGACTTTGAGGGCCTTGTCCCAATAGTTGTACTATAAAGAGTTTGTTGATCTATTGTTGTCATTGTATTGAGATGATAATGAGGGTCTTTATAAGATCACCCATGCAGTGTCTGCGTTTCAATGAGATTAGTAACCTATCGCTTTCATTCAAGCTTTAATCCACCTATTGTCTGCCTTGTCAATTTACCATACACCTCTATTTAATCCGTCCTGCTGATAGACCAGTGGGTACACACCATGTGTTTTGCCGGCACTGTGTAGTGATACTCTGGTTTGATTAATGGTCGTTTCTTTGTAATGGATGATTGCTGATTGAGTTCATTAATTTTGCTGTAAAAGCAAGGACAAACAGTAGTAGCACTTTTATGGCAGAGAGTCGGTACTTGCGATTATATTGGTAGTCACTACAGGTACGGACAGAATGTTTTGTTAAAATGGCAACAAACGTGAGTGATATGTCCCTCTATTCCAGTAACAGCAGCAGTACCGATCAGCAGAGTGTAGAGAACTTATCAGTCCACTGTCTTGACTTTGACGATCTGGTGTTGGGCTTTGAAGAAACGAAAAGGAACATATATGATTTATCCGATGCGACAGCACTTCATGTGCAAGATGCCAATTCCAACAAGGGACATAGCAAGCGACACGGCAACAGTGGCAAATCAAAGTCGCACCACGATAAAACTGACCTGGAGAAGCAACTCTTAGAAGGGGCAAGAAGGAAAGTAAGAAAGACTCAAAAAAGAGACAAAACGAGGCTGCATTCAGGAACAAGTTCAAGGTCAAGGCTTAGATCAAGTGAAGACGATGATGTTTCAGGTATTGTCTTTTCACTATGATTATTTGTCTATCAACAAATATTGTTCTGGATGACGTATATACAACAGGAATTTCAAAATAAACTACAGAATTTTGAAATAAACTACAGTAAAATTATTTAAATAATAAAATTAAAAATGCATGTCATGGTATGTATAATGAAACATAAAGTACATTGATTATGTTATAATTCATTGTGGCAGAGATGGATTATTGCAAACAGGTTTGAAAGATTATTAATCCAAACCTCACTGTTTTCTCACATAAATCTCCCAATGATTGTATTTATAAGGAGATCAGTAATAATATTTGTACCTAATATTTACAAATAATATTTGTAAATATAATACATTTGTACCTCAGACATCAGGTAATCGTAGAAACAATGAGGAAACTCAATATTTCTGTAAAATAAAAATTGTAACAATACATATTGATTCACCAATTTTGAGCATACTTTATAAATCACAAGGATATACTGGGCAGGTTTTTTTGCACAGTAACTGACTGACTATAATCAGTAATACATGTACTGTCAATCATATTGTTTTGTATTAAAGCAATGTCAATTAATATAGAAAAAATGGGCACATACTAGAAAAAAAAAAGCTGAAAAAATAATAATAGTAACTAATAATATACCAAATTCAAAGCATGTTAAATTGAAAGACAGACCTTGAATTTCATTCAATTCTATAATAATTAAAAAAAAAGCCATCACAACAAATCAGGTCATGGCTTAGCACAGCTTGTCTGGTCATTTACTATAAATCTAAATATAACTTTAGCTTAAAAAAAACAGCTTTGTATTTTTCACCTTGTTCAATGACAAGTTTCTTTAGAAAAAGAAATAAAATGCATCTGGTCCCGTTAATTGCTCATGAAGTAATTGTCAAAAAAAGTAGTTAAGATTAACTTCTTTTTAACTTCACATTATGATGGTAACACCAACAGTTACTATAAATTTATAAAACTGTGCCCTGAAGGTGTATCTGTGGCGGGTATGCGTGTCTAACGTTGTCAACATAGTATAACGAGGAGTCAATATCAGATTGGACGCACATTGTGCGAACTGCTTGCTTCAATTTTACGCAAATATTGACACAGATATTTGAAGTGCTGGGTTTGATTGCTTTACAGTCTGACTAGATTTCGTTCACAATTTTGTAGTCGCAATGTTATACAGGGTCAGGGCCGATTGAGTGATTGTTTGATATTGTACAGCAGCAACACATCACAATATCATTATTTAGTTGGTGCCCAGTTCAACGGTTTTTTCATCAGTAAAACGGAATATCCTTCTTGCAGCAACTGGGTGATTGCTGTATGTAGCTGATTCAGTCTCTTTTTGTTAACCTGACAAGTACTGTATTTTGCTCTGTAACATTGCTTGCATATTAGTACATAAAAGACGAAGGTGTGTCTATGATCAAAATTAGTCATATTTTAGTCATCTAGTAAAGAATAAACGCATTTTTGTTTATGCACATTTATTGGAGGTGTGCTTTTAATGGGGACAATTTGGTTTACATGTTTTCCACCTGTCTGTATCTAATTGGCATTGCAGTTGATGAATGAATGAATGAATGAATGAATGAATGAATGAATGAATGAAATATATGATCTATATTAAACAATCATTTATTATGTTATTTAATACTGTTACCTCCGTCATATTGTGTGAATATATATTTATATATAATCCCACTCTATTTTCCATTAACAATTCAGCAGACATGAGTGATTTATGACGAATGTTTTGTTGCATCGAGAGGTGGGGACTGATGTGCTACTTTGTCGGTTAACACAAGTCAAACTAAGAGAAAATATTATGGGATGATATATTTATCATGTAAATATTTCAGCTTGTGAAACGTTTGAGCACTGAATGAGAATCTATTGCTGATATGCTACGACAAATAAATCACTGTGCACAACTTGTATGCTAATTTTGTACTTTAACATGAGCACTTTGCACATTCTTTGTGATGATCCAGCTTGTGTACGATATTTCTAACTGGGCAGCAATGTTCAATTTTCAAATAATTTTTTGTAGCTCTATACCATATTGAATCTCTGGGTGCTCTGGGACCAACTTCTAGTAGAACGTACGTTGAAAACAAGTTTTGTACGTGTTTAGAATGTAACATCTAAATTATGTGATATGTCTTTTTGTTTTGATCTGTCCTGTATTATGTCACATTGTGTGCACACATTATTTACTACAAGCAATAACATTTTACATGAAGAATACATGTTTCAGTCACATAAAAAAAAACGAAGCATTTATATGTAAAACTGATCATGTCAATGTAATGTAACATTATATTAATTCATAAAAACAGAAAGCAGTTTTGGCTTACATGTGTTTCCACTAGTGTTGTATTAACTACTCCATAAAATACAATATTTGTATTCTCTCAGTTAAGACCTGATGTGATCATTAATAACGATGAGGTCTAATCAGGTATCAGTGTACCATTCAATATTCTGTGTCAGATCTTGTCGCATCAGCTGCATAGGGAAGATAACTTTGTTCATCGCGTGCTAAAACACTTCAGGTTACGTATGATACATTGATTGTATCAGCCTTTGATGGTTAATTTGTTTTTAACGTTTGAGTGCCCAATTTTTAAAAATTGAGTGCAAATATTTCTACATTTTGCAAAATTTTCAATAAATTTTATTTTGGGCAAGGCCAGACTTTTATTACCCCTTGTTTCGCGAACCCGCCGAATGAACAGGAGCCGAAAATAAAATAAAAATAAAATTGTATTTCAGCGTAATTTCTCGCGTCCGCCGAATTGTGAGTGCGAACAAATACTAAAAAAAAATTATTTTTATCTTCATTTTTTTTTTCGCCCGCCGCATAACAAATCCAAGTTGCATTTTCGTGGGAGTATCATGATCAAAGTACTGAAATCTCGCGCAGATGAGAAACAAGATTATACATGGAATAACATTTTATTTCATTTCTTCTCTCCAATCAATGATCTCACTTACAATTCTTTGAGAATCACACAAATCTAATGGAAAAAAAAGAATTAATTTTATTAATTACCGCCCTCCTCAAAATATTTGCTTTATAAAAACTTGAGAAACAAGGAATAAAAAAAGTCTGGGCCAATACAGATATTGCATTTAGTTTTTCATCAAAAGGTATGTCATTTTTTTTATCAACGTTTCATGTGCAGAGGAGCAGACTATACAAATTCATGTTGTAGATTGTGTCAGAAGTTGACAATGGCACTCAAAGTCGCTTTCGCATTTGAAATATCATGTTACAAGCATGAACAAAATAAAATATAGGGTCACTGTAAGTTCAGAGAAAATCCATCAATAAAAATAGCATGCATTATCTGTTTTAGAGCATTTTATCATTGTTTCCCATGGGACGAATATATCTCAAAATTTAAAAGGTACCGTACAAGCTACTTTTTGATGTCTGTATTAAGTATTAAAAAAAATTAGTGGATTTTAATGTGGAAATGTGTTTTCATTGTTGTCTATGGAAATCGCTGCTGAAATAGCGTTTTTATGCATATTATTTTACCATTTTTCTCGAAAACAAATTGACAGTGAAACATAAATGTTCACAATTAGCTGAGTACTAAAATAAATATTTGTAGACAGATTTTGAAACAAAAACAAAAAACTCATAAGTAACATTCTACCATAAGCGTAACCTTGATAACCTAGCACTGCCCCTACAAAAAAAAATCAAATAAAACTCTTAATCTGTGAAACGCAGGCTTAGGATCAGATATGAATAAAGCACAGCAATTGGATTAAATAATATATCATGCACCACGGATATCTAATGTTGAATTTAATATATATCGGTATCTAGGCAACGTATATGTAGCACCTTGTGCAGTTAAACAAGTCCTTTTTCATCTTCGGAGATATTTTATCACAAGGAAGTGAAATAAATGTTTTTTCAATATAATAAAGACATGGACAAGATGCCTCTTGAATATTGTTTAGTATTTTCATATTTCCTGTGCAATTTCCACATTTTCTGAATTTTTTTTCAATTCTATGTTAATTGAGCACCATAACTTTTTCTGGTAAAATTTTTGGTGGGATAGTTTGTCTGCTTTTTATGCGTTTTTTTCTATAAATATATTTTTTTAAATGTGTGAGCTTAATTTGTAAATGTTGTCAAAAGTTGACTTTGCCTTTCAAAGGTTCCATACAGAATCGATATCTGTTCAAAATAAACATTCAGTTGATTATTACAAGATAGTACGTTCCTTGAGCCATTCAAATGATAGTTACCAGTCTGATATTCTTGATGGCCGCAATAACAGTATCGTTACATCATTTATTTTTCTCTGAGAAATGATGATGTTTAACGTGAATTTTGTTTACTGTACGATATCTGGTTCAGTAGTGATATATCACACTAAACGTGGCAATGATGAATATTATAAATCACCATTAACATAATTAGGTTTTTATAGCTTCACATTATCACATGATATTGTAAGTAAATTCATTTCAACAAAAAGCCCCCAAATTTAACTAAATATATTTAATTTTGATGATGGTGATTTATAAAACATTAACGAATCTACCACTGTGTCATATTGGATTTGAATAAGGGTCTTGATACGATAACATATTATCTTGCCATAGATCTCCAATCCCCATTCAATACGACAGTTTGGGGTTCATTATTGCTTAATTATACCGATAGACCAATCTGAATCGTAAGTTCAAGATTGCAACAACATTAAAAGTTAGCAGTATTCTCTAAAAAAAAAACTGCTAGTCAGAATATCTGTCTCAAATATGAGACAGTAGAGCAAGCGAATTCCCAGATTCAGGTTGTCATGGCGATAAATCAAAGAAGCAAACCTCATTATAATGAAACCATTAATTTAAAGTCACACTGCTCAACATTCCTTTTCTGAATGCTAATTTAATCCCTTGGGTCTTCAGCTTCCGCTATTATATCTTCATTTCACTATGGAACTCTGTATTCTATGAGCAGC